AAGGAGTTGATAAAGCTGTGATTAAAGAGTGGCAAACAGCCAATCCTGTGTCTGGGTGATTTGCAGGTGGGAGGGGAGGGGGTCAGAACATCTCCCTACTCTGGATTATCCATGCTCACTCTGAATGTGGCACTCGCAATCCAGTCCAAACAGCACAGAACATGTACAGACTACAATGCACCATTTTGCTGTCCTTAACTCCCAATCTTCCCACTGAAGATATTTTGTGTCCCAATATGAAAACTGCATAGCTGTGCACTTTTTCTGTGGTGCTTGCTGAGACTTCCTCCCAGGTTGGGACCTGAACGCCTTACTCTCAGCAACTGGAGGTTCATTTTGCTTTCTTTTGGGGTGTGTGTGTGTGTGCGGGTGCGTGCAGGGTTCAGCATAGCGTAGTTGAGATATACAGCTCCCCCCATTAACTAGTGGCCTTGTTCAGTATTTTCATTTCCAATTGCTCACTGTTGGAGGCAACAAAGCACATCTTGGATTCTGAAGATTGGGGAGGGGTCTCCAGCCAATGGGACCCCATTACTTGTTGTATTCTGAACTTCTAATAAAAAGAACAAATGTAAAGCAGGATTGGATTTTTGCTTTTAATACAATACAATAGCCGAGTTGGAAGGGACCTTGGAGGTCTTCTAGTCCAACCCCCTGCCTAGGCAGGAAACCCTATACCGTTTCAGACAAATAATTTTTCTGCTGCTCTTGTTGTTGTCTTTTTGTGCCAGTATAAATTTTCAGAGTAACCTCATTTGTAATGTAATACATACACTCCCATGCAGCTAGTCCTCGACTTACGACACTCAGCCGGGACCTGAATTTCTATTGTAAGTTGTTGCGCTTGTGAATCAGGTCCAATTTTGTGACCATTTTTTTATAGTGGTTATTAAGTGAATCCAGCTTCCCTAATGGGCATTTCCTTTGCTGGAAATTGGCACACACACAAAAAGAAAAAGTTGCAAATTGTGGACGCATGGCTGCTGGGCGTTGCAGCTGGTGAATGTGAGCTGGTTGGCCAAGTGCCCAAATTGCGATCATGTGACTACAAGGGTGGTGTGACAATTATAAGTGCAAGCAGGGATTGTGGGCTGCTTTTTCCAAGGCCATCCAAATTTTGAGCCATCAAACAAAGGATCATAAGTCAAGGGCTCCCTGAATGTTATCAGGTAATTTAATCTGTGATGTGTTGAGCAGTTGGTTTAATATCAAAGGTAAATACTGAAAGTCTATGGAGAGTCTCAGTCATCCAGGTCCTGGTTGTTTTTTCAAGAGGCAACTGGACTTTCTGGTTTTTCTTTGAAGACGTTTTGCTTCTCATCCAAAAAGCTTCTTCAGTTTCTTCAGAACTGAAAAAGCACCTTTGAGGTACACATTGAAAGTTCTAGGGTAGGTTTCCCACCACTTAGGATTATAATTTTTTTCATATGACAGAGCTGAAGCTGAAGAAATCTGAATGCTCAACCACATCACACAGCTCATCTATTAACCATACAATTCACAAAGTTATATGTACGCCTGTTGGATCAGAACAAGAAGACTTCTTAAAGTCAAGTATGATTCCTGATGACTTCATGCCTGCAAAGTTTCCTTGGCATGATGCAGAACAACCAATACCTGTAATTAGGATGAGGTCCCCCCTCCCAACTTTCAGTCTAGTCTGGGATTCCCTGGTAATCTTTCATATTAGTGAGACCTATGTTAGGTTTCCGATGGATGCTCTTAATTAAATCATGAGCCTCTAGCCAAGCTTCAAAAGAAATCCAGTTATTTATTAGGAGCTACATGTCGGCACGTTCCCAAGTGAAGCCAGCTCTGACCCCACGTAATTTACGGCCCCAATCATGACCCTGTTTCCCCCCTCCCCTCAGGGTGTGTCATCAATCACATTCGCAAGGGAGCAATTTCGCGGGTTGTAGACATCACTCCCCTCCGGCTGCTGTAAGTAATTCTGGGATACAGCCTTGAGAGAGATAAGGCTGGAATGTGCATCTGTCTTTTGCTGCCATGCCATTTCATTGGTTTCCTATCCCCCCCCCCCCTTTCCTATGGCAACTCGAGAGCAGGCCAGGGATGCTTT